AGACTTTCACCTATTAGTCTAATATCAAGCTCTTTTCAATGTTGTTGCCAAGGTGCTAAGTGGTAGATTTGATAGGCAATTCTCAAAGTGCATTTGTGCCTGGGCCTGGGGGGAGGGGGATCCTTGATAGTGTACTGGTGACCAATGAACATGCAGACTTACCTGGGGCTGAGGAACTGGGTTTTGTGTCTAAAATTGATTTAAAGGAATATTCCATTATAATCTATAATAATGGGGAATTGTGGAGGAGGTCATGCACTTTATGGGCTTTCCTGAGACATGAGAGTAGTATTTTCTTCTGTGTCTTCTGTTTCCTTTTCCATTCTTATCAAAGGTTCTGTTTTTCTACTGAGTTCTGTTCTAGTTTTCAGGGGTTAACACCAAGGACACTGATCACAAGAGGAAAATGGTTTGGCTTAGTTGATATATTTGGATCTGATGGTTTTCTAGTATGGCATTTGCAATATGCTAGTGGGGCAGTTTTCATGAAGGCTTTAATTTAGGTTTTCAATCCAAAAGTTATTCTGAACCACTAGAAAATTGTACTTGTCTTGGTTTTCCAAATTGCTACCTTTCTTTTTACTTATTTGGAATTGCCTATTGATGCTAATGCATCTTCTTCACCTCGTATATGGTGACTGAAAGGGTCCTGAAGAGGCTTTCTGGTTGGAATTATAGGTACGTATCTCTTGGATGTCATTTCTCTTATCCAAAGTGCTTTATCTAGTATGCCAACCTATTGTTTGTCTTTCCTCAAAGTACCTTAAGCTGTAACAAAGTAATTGGAAAAAATACAAAAAGATAACTTATAGATGGATGTATTGGGGATAGAAGTTCTTTTTTGTGATTAATGAAATTTTGACTGTTACCAATAAAAAAAAAGTTCTATTTTATGAAACGGGTTTTGTTTTGTTGTCCAAATAAGCTTAAGGACCTTGGTTTCGGGCATATAAGAGCCATAAATCAGTGCCAATGAAGTGCTTATTGCAATTTGTGGTTGAATTACTTGCACTTTAGAGAAGGGTGATCATTTGTAATTGTAAATATTGTGCAGCTAGATTTGAATGGGATTCTAGAAAAAAAAAATTCTACTTGTGGGGTTTGCTCATGGAAAGGGATTATGAGGTCTCAGCAAGAATTTGCGAGTTACATGAAAGTTGTTGGAACACAAATCAGATTTGGGAGGATAATTGGAACCAAGCAGGTTGGTTATGTGATATTTATCCAATATTTTTAGGTTAAGCTCTATTGAAGTCACCACTAGCCAATATTGATTTTTTTTATCATAAATACCAATATTATAGAAGCTACGGGGATCAAGTTATTTGGTATCATACATTTAGTGAACCTATTAGAAACAGAGAGTGATGAGAACGAGCTGGAGGCTGCTAACTAAGTTCATTCTCATAACCCAAAGTGGTACTATTTTGATGTTTGTTTCTAGTTGGATCTTACTAGAAGGAAAGGTTCAAAGTATCAATGCCTGATTTACCTGTTTACAGGTGTTTTCGGGAACCCATGCTAAAAGGCGTATGGTTTAAATTACCAATACACCTCTGGCGATACACAAAGGTGTATCGATACTTTGAACCATGCTAGAAGGTAATGACAAGAAATCAAGTGCAAGTATCTCAAATTGCTATAAGTGGAAGCATTTGTGTGGTTATTATCATTGGATTCAATTCTCATAAACCATCCAAAGAGTAGAGGATTTTGAATTGTGGATGCATGTTTTCTGTGTGAGATCATGATAAAGGCATGCTGTATTTGTTTTGTTTTTTGATCAATGCATGCTGTATTTGTTTATTCATTTTGGAGAGCTTAATTCATTTCATATTCTCTCCTTTCTCTCTTTAGGGAAATCTTTGTCCATTCTACAGCTTTATGAGATTTTTTTTTTTAATTTTATCTGGGGCCTAGAGTTAATGCTGGAACCAATGTTAAGGTATTCTGGAGTTTAGTTCCATTTGCAGCCTATTGGGGTGTGCAATACTTGACTATAATGAAATGAAAGGATTTTTATGGTAAAAAGATAATTCAGATTAGCTGAATGCGATGGCTGTGCTGTGGAACCAATGATAACCCCACTCCAGCCATAAATGCTAAGCGAGAGATTTAAGGGTTGTGGGCCATGTATTTTGAGTGGTGTGGGGTGTTATCATTTGTTCCACAGCCTGTTAATTTATGTTCTTATTTGGACCCCATATTGTGAACTGGGTTCTTGTTCTTCCAAAGATTTGAAGATGTTTATGGTGCTTTATTTGTGGGAAACTTTTGGTCTATTTTGGATTTGAGAGGAGGGGATTGTTAAAACCATCTTTAGTTTTTTAGCTTTTGTTTTTTTTTTTTTGATTGACAAAACATTTCATTAAATAAGAAAGAGTTGAGAGTACATTTTAGAGTTGTGAAGGTAATTCCCAAGTACCCTTTAAGTTACAGACTTCGGCCAATTACTATTCAGCCCAAAACAATAGCTGCCTATGTATCCCTTGCTTAGCCAGATAATCTGCCATCCCATTTGCAGTCCTCTTAATCCATTTTTATTTTTTATTATTTGCCTTTTTAGCTACAAGGCCTCTCTTGTCTTTTGTAAATTATTTTCTCCTTATTAATGAAATATTCAGTTTACTTGATTGATAGATTCACTAAGAAATCAGCTTCATGGAAAAGCAATTATTTATCTTTGGGAGGAAGGAGTATGTTGATTAGATCCACCTTAGCCAATCTTCTAGTGTACTTCATGTCAGTCTTCAAGAATCCTCTAGGCGTAAGCAAAAAGTTGGAAAATTTGATGAGGGACTTTCTATGGGAGCTAGGTGAGGAGAAAAAGGACCATAGGGTGAAAGGGGATATGGTATGTAGAAATAAGGAGTGTGGTGTACTAATCAAAAAAGGAAAACAAAGTGTGGTGGCCTTGGTATTGGGAATATTCAAGAAAGAAATACTGCTCTATTAGGTAAATGGTTGTGGAGATTGCTGGTGAATAGAGATAAGTTGTGGGAAAAAGTGATCATCAGCATTCACGGTCTTGTGGCCGAAGGTTGGGGCTTTGGAGTTCAGACTAGGGCTACGAGCTTCTCCTTGGAAATCCATCCATGCCATTCTTCCTTCTTGCCATTTATCAGGTATAAACCTTGCTTTAATCAAAATTTGGGAACATGTTTGGTTGGGTAACTCTCCCCTAAAGGACCAATATCCCTCTCTATTTGGCTTTTCAAATCGTAGGAATGAATCTTTATCCTCTTTCTTGGTTCAATCTAATCCTGGGTTTGGCCATGAGTGGGAATTGAATAAAATTTTGGGAACATGTTTGGTTGGGTAACTCTCCCCTAAAGGACCAATATCCCTCTCTATTTTGGCTTGTCAAATTGTAGGGATGAACCTTTATCCCTCTTTCTTGGTTCAGTCTAATTCTGGATCTAGTCATGAGTAGGGGTGTCCACGGTTCGGTTAACCGAACCATGGGCATATTTTGCAAACCGAACCGGTGGTACCAGTTTTTCCATTTGTCCAAACCGAAACCGAACCAGTATCACTGGTTAACTGGTCCGCCGATTTCGATTTTTGATTGGTTCGGTTTTTCGGTTTTTTATATTTATAATATATATTATATAAAAATATGTATAATATTATATTATAAATAATAAATGATATATAATATATTATAAATATTCTAAAAATATATAATATATATAACATATTTATAAATAGATTATTATAAATATAATATAAGTATATATTTATATATATAATGAATATATATTTATATATAATATATAGAAAATATGTGACATATATTAAAAATATATATAAAATATACATATAAATATATATACCGGTCAGTTTGGTTAACCAAAAACCAAACTTCCCGGGCCCATAACACAAACCATCGGTTCGGTTAACCGCATTTTGCGGTTTGGTTCAGTTTTTCGGTTTTTCATGGACACCCCTAGTCATGAGTGGGATTTGGAATTTAGAAGAGGTCTTCATGATTCTGAAATTGTTGATGTCTCGTCCTTGATCCAAAGCCTTGAGAGAGTGATTTTAAATCCTACAAAAAGTGATGCACCAATTTTGACTCTTTCCTCCTCAGGCTCTTTCTCTTGTGCCTCCTTCTTCAAAGCCCTAACTCAACTGGGTGATAGCATGAGTTTCATTTTCCTGTTAAAGAGGTTTGGAGTAGACCTATTCCACCTAGGGTTGGAGCTTTTTACTGGGAATTATTTCTGGAAAAAATAACACTTGTGACTTTCTCCAGAGAAAGAGACCCAATTGGTCTTTTTCCCCCCACTGGTGTTCTCTTTGCAAGCCGAAGGTGAGTCCTGCTATCACTTACTAGTTTCCTGCCCCTTTTTTTCAATTTGGGAATAGTGTCTCCTGGTGACTCGCTGAGGGCTGAAATTTTTGCTATTTTGGAAGGTATTCAAAAAGCTAAGGATTTGAATATTAGTAAGTTGATGATTGAAGGGGGACTTTTTTTCTAAACGGGTTATAGGTTGGTTGCAAAAGGAGGAGGATACTGGTTGGTGGAATTCTATCTATGAGAGAAAGGAAAATAGACAATATGTTACAAGACTTGGAGGTTTGTTTTCAATGGGTAAAAAGGGATGCTAATTCCTTTGCTGACATGTTGGCCAAACAAGGGGTGGGAAGAAGTCATCTGTTTTGGGCTGTTCTGTAATTTTTTTCTTCTGTCGTTTTTGGAAGAGATAAGAGAGGTTATCTTTCCTTGTATTTATGCTTAACTTGCTTATCAATGAATTATTTCTGTTATTGTTCAAAAAAAAGTTCAGTTTACTGTAATAACAATAACAGGAAAGAGGTTTAAAAGGAACTGCTGAAGTTATTGGTGGTTTATTATGCATGTATGTTAAATAAAATATAACTGATTAACATAGCTTGCAAGCATTTAGCAATTTGTTAATAGAGATTCATTTTCTTTTTCCCAAGGATAACTATATTTCCTGCCTTGATGACTATCTTTTTTGGAACTGTTTCAGGAACTAGAGCTGAAAAAGAAGCAAGAGGAGGAAGAGAAAGCAAATGAACTGGAATTGGTGGCTGGAGAAGAAAGAGAAGTGCCATCTGATCCAGAGCTATTAAAGGTGAAGGTCAGACTGGATGCATTAGAGGAAGTTGTGAAGGAGATTGCGGTTGAATCAAAGAAACAGTCAGGTGCCAATTTAACAAAGGATAGCCAGGAAGTTGACAAGAAAGAGCAGCTTGCAGATATTGTCTCACGCTTCCAAAATAAATCAGAAGGCAACACTGCAACTGACGATAATTCCAGCGGGTTAAAATCCAGGGAATCAGCACCAATCTTGAGCCAACAGCAGGCAAATGGGTCATCTGCAGCTATTAATTCCTTGCAAGGGGACCAGAAGAAGGGAGGTGGAGGTGCCAAGGATGAAGGGGCTTCAAAAGATTTCTAGAAATAAAGATGGCATTAACATAAGGAGGCAAAACTAGCGTGTTTGCCTTTAACTTGTCATAGCCCTAAAATTGTTATTTCACCCACATCCTGGTTCAGTGAGAACCTTTGATACATCTTGCATCAAAATGAGTAAGCGCAGTGCCATATCATACGTGCCTTCAGTCAAGATGGAGTTCACATTTATCTAGATTTTGGCCCTATTTATCCATCAATCTTGGGTCACTTGTCATTGGCTTTGGGGTGGGATACTTAGCTGGGCTACTGTTCAAGTTAAGGTTATAATTGGAGCCCTCCATTATGAAGAGCTTTAAACTTGATTTCCAAGCTTTTCGCTCTTGACTGAACTGTTTCATATTTTGCGGCCACAGAACTGTAAGCAGATCATGTCTTTGCATTAAATTATTTGAAAAGCAGAACCCATTATGGTTGGTTTTAAGTTATTACTGTTGAGGTACCTCCTATTATATTTGTCACTAAGAATTCTTGCTCAAATTGGAGGATGCTAAGGGTATGTTTGGTTTCCCAGGTAAAAATGCAAATATTCTTTTAGATGTTTTATTTTTCTTGTTTGTTTTATTGTGAAGTACAAGATCGCAGATGATTTCAAATCTCAAAATCGAGGACATGCGTCAGATTGAAACAGTGTGACCCCAGTGGAAAAGGAAGATAGAGAGAGAATTGTGAGACGAAATCGTGGCTTATTAGAACTGAGTTCAGATACCACAACACATTGCTGGCCACGTTCATACAACCAAACATCGGGGACATCTCTTGCACTTTATATTGCCAATGTTCCTTAGGCTGTGTGAACGTGGCCAGACTTGTTATTATCTCAATTTCCCTGATACACTGTCAATCTCCTCCCAGACAGTCGGAACTTTGTTGCCAATCCTTGTTTCAACTTGAACCAAGGTCAGATTTGAAACTTAAGTTTATCTACAATTTAGATAAATTCTATAAAACAGGTGTAAGGCCAGTTATGTTGTACGGGGAAGAGTGTTGGGCAGTCAAGAAATATGTCTAAAAACTTAATGTGGCAGAAATGCTAATGGTAAGATAGATGAGTGGAAAAATTAAAAAGGGTAGAATTAAGAATAAAATTATTCATAGGAATCTAGAAGTAGCTCCAATAGGTAATAAAATGAGAGAGAGAGCGGAGTAAAATGGTATGGGCACATGCATGGAAGACCACCAACTGTGTTAGTTAGAAGTGATTTTTTATACATTTAAGGGGCTAGAAGAAATTGAAGTACACCAAAAAGGGCATGGGTAGTAGTAAGTAATGATTTAAGCACTAACAATGCAACAATGGATATGGCCTTAAATAGAATGGATTGACAAAACCGGGTTCATGTAGCGGACCCAATATAGTTGGGACAAGGCTTGGACGATGACTTCTAATTTTGTCATGGTGGGTATTTTTGTCTAAGATTTATTAATGTATTATTTTGATAATGATAAATATTGTAAATGAAAATAGCTTAGAAAATCATGGTTTTAAAAACTCACCCGAAAATGAAACCGTTCTAGCTACCAGTTCCCGGGTCAGCAGTTCAACCGTCTGGGTCGAACGGTTTGCATATTAGGGCAAATGTTTATATGAGATTTGCCCTAATATGCAAACCTCATGTAAGAAAGAAGAGATGTCAGCTGAGAAAAGCCAGGTTCGGCTGATAAAGTAAAAAAGAAAGAAGGAAAGAAAGGAGGAAAGGAGAGAAGGGGGGAAGAAGGAAGAGGATTTGATGCTCACCGACAATGATAGCAGCGATGACGACAACAAGCGCGGTGGCAATAGATGCAGATCTGAGATCTGAGTTCTCTTTAGTCTAAACACCTGTAGTTCTTCTTCTCCTCTTCTTCTTCTTCTTCTTCTTCTTCTTCTTCTTCTTCTTCTCAGATTGCAGATCTGAGTTCGTGCCTTAGATTGGACCTCAGATCTGAGTTCTACAACATTATATAACGAACCGCTGGCCGGGTCAAATGAGTCGACGGTTCAATCACATGGGTCAGCGGTTTTCTGACGAAGTCAATGGTTTTTTACCCAAGAACAGGTTAGGGATGAAACGGAACTGGTTGCTTGGACGGTTTCCAGGCCGAATGTTCCGATCGTCTGGGTCAACGACGGCTCAAAACATTGTAGAAAATCGTAATATCTTAGTGTAATTAAACTATGACATCAACCTGTTGAGTGTTAAGGTCATTGAGTCGTGGGTCGAATAGTCCAGTCTTTTGAATCAACCTCGTAGCTGTTTAATTAAAAAAAATAAAAAATGAAAATTTTCTAACATGATTGCATATAAAGGTTTTGAGTCTTTTGGCCAAGTAAATGACTTAGAAAACCATTGAACTTGATATGTGAATGGTCCAACCATTCGGCATGATCTGAGTCATACATTATCATTTAATGGGTTAATTGCTGAAATCTCCCTCAAAAGTTTAGTAATTGCAATCACCTCAGTTGAAACTTTTGACAAAGTTACAAATGGGTTTCCCCTGGTAGAATCCTCTAACAAGGGACATGAAAATGTGCAAAATACCTATACAGTTACTATTGTTTTTACAAAAATACAATATAAACTTCATGAATAACAACAATAAAAAAAAAGTTTAAAGTTGCATCTTTACCTTTGAGTGATTGATATGAAAGGTAAATTTGAAAAATAAATCAATTTCAGAAAATAGACCGAAAGGGCTTGGGGTAGTGATTGATATAAAAATAAAATTTGAAAAATAAACATTTTGGTCAAAGCAATTGCATTGATATTTTGGACATATTCAGAGATTCTAAATGAGAAAATTTAGTTGCAACTGTATCAAAAAAATTAGATGAGATGATTGCAATTACCACAGTCAAAAACTTCGATGAAAACAATTTTTTAGGCCAGCTCCAAGAATGGAATCTCATGGGCATAGAAAATCATTTTACAAAACTGGGGATTTACAAAGGACCTTTATAGACCTTGGGCATGCAAAGGAGACAAGTTGTGTTTTGGGTGGACGGCTGGGCCTTACAACAGCCCCTGCCCTCCAAGATAATGCCAAAAGTCAAGCGAAATAATAATTTAAATGAGAAGGCGCAGCAGGTGGATGGGATGTTCACTGTTAAATCAGCTGTTTGTTCGATATCAAAAAACTCAGAATTGACGAAGATATAAGCCATGTATGAGATCTAAAAGCTAATTTAAATCCTAATGATGTGCTTGGTAATCTACCTCCTAAGATATAAGCCATGTATCAAAATTTAACAAATTTTGTAAAATTCCTTTAGAATTTTCCCTCAGTTTTCTTTTTCTCTTTTATTCTATCAGACCAAATATAGCCTAAAGATAAAGATCTTTTTTTTTTTATGGCTCTTAGGAGGTAGATTACCTATATCCTACCTAGTTCATTGGCACAATGTTGATCCCATCTGCTCATCATGTTGAGAAAAGGAAAACACAGCACAAATTCATGAAATTGCACTATTGCACAACATATTTGGATGGTATGGAAGATAACTATTTAGGCTCAAGAAAAGAGGAATCAATGATTAAGGACCGGTGGATGGGATTGACATTCACGAGAAAAGTGAGGAAAACAAAGGACAGAAGTTGCATTCCTCCCGTGGGCAATATGAAAGAGCAGAAAGAACTTACAGTTTCAAATGAAGGAGAGCAACTGGGGTGTAAATTGAATTCATTAAGGTTCCATCAGTATTTTTAAACTGTTGTTGGCCCGGATGTTTGGACCGTTCGGCCTAAGAATCGTCTAGGCAACCAGTTCCGTTTTACCTCAAACCTGATCTCTAGCTAAAAATCGCTGAATTGGTCAATGACCCATTGACTTGGGTGACCAAACCATCAATCCGTTTGACCCATTCAACGTTTTTTTTACCTTTTTAATTTTAATTAGTTTTTTTAACTTTTTTTAATTTTTTGTCAGAACAGGCCATCTATTCGAACCAAACAGTTGAACCATTAACCTGAAAACTGGTGGCCAAAATAGTTCCAATTCCAAATCAGTTTTTAAAACATTAGAATGGATTACTCCTACCCACTTAGAAACCAAGATTAATTTTGAAATCTCAGTAAGGGGATAATGGATTTGCAGCGATTTGCGATTAGCAACACAAACTTTGTGATTGTGTAGTAAAGGCAAATTTTGCAGGACAAACTAATCAACTTTACTTTTATCCTGGAAATATTTGTAGGACATTAACCTATTCATTTGTTAAATTGATACATTTGGACATGAAAATGTGATAATATTATAAGTACACAATAAGAAAAACAAATGTTAGATGGTGCTTGAAGTATATTCTCTCTCTGGTGTGAGCTTTCTGACAATATTCCATGGCGCATTGAGAGTATATTCTCCGATTTATTTAACCTATTTTAATCAATTTTATGAGTATTCGATTGTTTATGTAGCTAGGGCTATGAACATAGCAGCCCATGTATATATATATAAACACAAATACAGCAGTTTAGAAAATTTCTCCTTTTTTTATATTTTTTTTTATTTCATGTCATTTTTGAAGCAACTGATGAGATGTTCTTCCTTCCCATAAAAAAATTACCTAAAATTTCTCTCACACACACACGTTCCCAATAACCTAAATAATATCCTCTCCTAAAATTTCTCCTAAGCTACCCCCACACTATTCTCCACTTACTCCTAAATTATCTCTACGTCCTATTTATCCTCTTCCCCACTTTTTATCTATATCTATGAGAAGAAAGTTTGATTTAAAAAAATTAAAAACTATTTAAATGTTCTAACTAAATTACATAATAACATTAAAATATTTATTAAAAACACAAAATAATAATTATAATAGATTTACTAATAGCCATATTATTAATACTCTTATATTTTACTTTTTATCTATATCTATCTAAATAAAGTTTGAATTAAAAAATTATTTAAATTAAATATTCTAACAAAATTATATAATAACATTAAAATATTTATTAAAAACACAAAAAATAACTATAAATAATAGATTTAATAATAGTCAAATTATTAATAATTTTGTATTTTACAAAATCCATCATGAAATTATGTACTAATAATATAAGTTATGATTTTCCGGTTTATTCAATTTAAATGTTATTCAAATAATACAAATTTAACATTAAAAAAATAAAATATCATTTAAATATTTCAATAACTAAATATCTTAAATAAAAAGCATTAAAATAGTTAAATAATTATATAAAATATTTAATATTATGTAATAAAATTAAAATAAATAAAATTGAAATAACAGAAAAGTTTAAATATTTATATATTTTTTTAAATATTTCTATACCTAAATATTGCAAATAACGAAATATTTAACATAACTAGCTTTTAAATAGTTAAAATAATGAAATTATGTAAGGAATTTTAAAAATTTATAAAAATAGAAAAATAATTATAACTTATAACATAATATTCAATTTAATATTTTAAAATTTAAATAATATTATCTAAATAACTGAACAATATTTTAAAGAACTAATTTCAATTATAGAAATTAATAATTCTAGAAAATAACTATCAAAAAATTAATATTTACTAATAATAATTTTAAAATCTTAATCTATATTTATTATATATTATATATACTAAAATTAATAATTGTTATAGTTTCAGTAATTATTTATTGTTTTTTGTGATAAATGTATTTTCAATAATTATGTATAAACCTATTTTCGTTTTGTTATTTAACAAAAACATTTTCAGTAATTATTGGAGATTAAACTACTACTACTTAACTTTTTAAATTTAATTTATTGTACTTTTATTATTATTTTATTGATTAATATTTTTAGAGATTAAACTATTATTTGAGATTACACTATTTATTGACTAATTTAATATATTTTTAGTATTTTTATTAGTTATTTGTTGTATTTTCTTTGTCAATATATTTTCAATAATTGTGCATTTTTTCTATAAATTTTCAATAATTATTAGGGATTAAACTATTGTTATTTATTAGATAATAAATTATTAATTTAGGTGAAATTAGGAGTGTTTGGTTGGTTCAGTTTAATTGTAAGTTGTGTGGCCAGCCAAATTGACTTGGTTAGGTTGGGGAGTTGGTCACCCGAAACCAATTTACCATTAGTGAAAACAAGCCTACTCAGGTTGTATCGGTTTAGGCCGATTTTTGGTTTGGCCAATCGGTTCAAAATATTTAAACTTAAAAAATTAAAGTTATGATATAAAATATTTTAGACTAAGAAATATGAGAAATTTTCCACTTTCCCGCATTAAAAAAATATATTAAAAATATAAAAGATTAATATATATCTATGGTAAAGTCATTTGACTTTGGTCGATTTACAAATGGGCAAATCAAAACTGATCCAACCTGGTCAGGTTGGGAAATTGTTGAACCAAAAGCAACCGAAAATACTAGAAAACCAACCAAGTAGGATTGTATAGGCTGGGTTGGTCGATTTCATCAGTTTAATGAACAACCTTAGTTGAAAATAATTATTGTTATTTTTATATTATAAAAATTATTAAAAATAATATATAAAATATAAATAATTATTAATTATTTAAAATTTTAAAAATATAAAGAAATGTCTACTCTTATGTATTTTTAGGGTTCAACTATGATATGGAAAAGATAAGATATTAAAAAAACATTTGACCAGTCAACTAAATTCATAAATGTAATAGCCAAAATTAGGTGTTATTTATCAAAATTCATGAATAAGTTTTAATTGATCAAAACTCTTTCCATACCGTACCTTTTCTGCATTATAGATTGCTTAACAAATCCCATGAGTCGCATGGCTCTCCGCTAACATCTCAATTCCTAAGCACGCGCTTTCAAATAATTTGGATTAACTGATCGCAATGGCTGTTCAGCTGGCTGCAAAACCAATGATAATATTCCATGCAAGTAATGAATTCATCATGGCCCCACTGTGAGAGATGTGGATTCCATGTATTCTGTTAGTGGCATGGAAAATAATCATTGGTTACACAGGACAAAGCCCGCTTACAACTATTGCATTCATCTAATCCTTCATCGTTTGCAACACCGTCAATATTGATTGGCTGCACTGACTTATTACTTATCTACTTCTAAAAAGTATTTCACCAGAAAGTTGATTTCTCATTTCAGTGTAAGTATTTTTGAGCTTATTGGATTTTTCACCAAATATTGCTTCTCGACTTTTCATACGTATGGGTTTGCAATGCTAGAAGGCGATGCATTAATGCCCTCCCGAACAGGCACTATCACATCTCCAAGAGACTTACCTTTAACTGAGTGGATTTGAGCTGAATGGAATTGCCTATTGGGTACAAAAAAAAACAAAAAGGCTCTGGGATATCATTGTAGATTTATAATATATGAACATAATTATGCAGTCGGTTCGGGTCTTATTCGGTTCAAAACAGTGAAAACCCATCCCAAAACCCAATTGTATAATGCGGATCGGTTTGGATCAGTTCTATCGGATCCATCAAACCGATTGACAGCCCCCCACCTTTGAAATCTAAAAGGGTCTCGAGCATATAAGAGTAACTTTTGGGGTTTAATATTAATAAAAATACTAAAATTAGATTAATTTTTAAAAAATAATATTAATAAAAAGCAAAAACACCGTTTATCTTCTTCTCATTTATTCATCAGAACCGCCGTCCGCCGCCGCCGCCACCGCCCATTTCCGGCAATATTTTCGGAAGCGGAGGCGTAGGTGGGCGGAGGTAGCGGCGTTGGACAAAGAAATCACCAGCGCCGCCACCGCCACCACCGCCTCCGCCACTTCTGGGTCTCCGGCTACCTTCGGCAATATTGCTGGAGGAGACGGAGGTGGGCGGTGGTGAGTGGTGACGGGCGGCGGGCGGCGGCTCTAATGAATAAATGGGAAGAAGAAAATGAACAATATTTTTGCTCTTTATAGATATTATTTTTAAAATATTAATCTATTTTTTAAATTTTATTAAATATATTCCTTTTATTGATATTAAACCTAAAAGTTGCCCTTATATGCTATTATCCCAATCTAAAACCCTCCTTCGCACGCGCATGCAGAAGAATTACAGACTCATGGCCCGCCTTGTTCAGGTGGCGCGAAGAATTTTCCTCTTCAAATCTTCATCTTCGTGCTCTCAAGCCCTAATCTCAAGACTACAGCCAAATCCTCATCCAATCGAGAAACCCTTATGTAGTTCTGTTAAGCAGGTCCTGCGCACACGAAATTACATCAATGAGATGCGTCACTCCGCCGTCGATGCGAACATACTGAGAATGCTTCGCTCTGAAATTCAGTACGAGTACGAATATTCTCGTCCCCAAAAGGTGTCAGTTTTCTCATCTCTCACTGAATTGGGTTCATCGATTAATTAGTTGATGTTCTTCTATCATACTTCTGAGTTCTATATCATTTTTGTGAATAAAGCCTGCTACGGAAGTCTATTCGTTCATTGTGGAGGACCGGCCGGGGGAACAGTGGATTAGACTGAGAGGTAAATGTGAAGACGAGGGAGAGATTAAGATTGAGGCTACGATGTTTGATGAGTCTATTTCTGTTCGCAAATCCGGATATGATGCCAAAGGGGAGGATGTGCAGCCTCACATCAATGTGATTGTTGATATTTCCAAGGGGGAGGGTAGTGATGTGATGGAGTTTGTCTGCATGGCGTGGTCGGATTATTTGGAGATTCAGAGAGTTTTCATGCTTCAGCGTGATGGAATACCTGCAAGATCTTACGTGGGACGCAATTTTAAGTATGACATTGTTTGATTTTAATTTTCTTCGTTATGATTTATGAATGTTTGGTGTAGTTTCTGCATTCTAATTGAATGGTGTTCGATTTTCTTTCCAGGAAATTGAGTGAGGATCTTCAGGATGCACTCCAGGAATTCTTGGAGGCGAGGGGGGTAAATGATGAACTTGCTGTTTTCTTGCATGAATATATGATTAACAAAGATAAAACTGAGCTTATCCGATGGATGGGAACTGCTAAATCTTTTATTGAGAAGTAAATGTATTTGTTAGTCAATGTGGTCTTGCATTCTTCTTTCCTATCATTTTTGTAGATTGGTTGTTAGATATCATTGCTGAAAACTGTATTTTGCAGTTATCAGTATGCTTGTGTCATTCTCCATATCAGGTGCCTATAATGTTAAAGGAAGCACACGATTGGTAATGTCAGAAGTTGATATTAAAATAGTGAATGAAATGAAGCCACTGTAAACATATTATATGCAATTGTGCATTTCTAAGGTGTCCTTAAATCCATTATTAATGTCTAAATGGGTTTCTTCCCCTGATTATTTGTGATTGGACATGGAGCTTGAATGATTGTGCTGCCATCTTTATTGTCCTCAAGATATCCATTTTTTAGAACTATTAGCATTAAGCCATCAACCACTTAGCAATGAAAGTGATATTCTTTCAGAACCTGGGTCTTCAAAATGTGAGTAAAACTTATGTCTTTTTTTTTTTCCATTTTCTGTCATGATGTAATAATTGCACATCTGAGTGGTATACTGGTATTGCATTCACTATTGCCATAGTTACTCCATTAGTCTCACATGTGAAATTGATCAGGAAACAAGCACTGCAGTTCTCATGCAGTCCTAAAAGTTTGACTATGTCTACCTTCTCCATGTGGGATAAGGCTTGGATGATGATGATGTTGGCTACCTTCTTCACAACTTCAGATGACATTCTCAACCCAATGCTATAAATCTTTGCTTTTCCTGTATTTTTTGATTCTTGAAGGCGTTGATTTTCCCCCTTCTTTCACTTTAACATGCCATAGTCAAATAAACATTCCCAACAGTTGTCCAGCCTAGGCCCATTTGATTGGTTATGCTGTGTAATAAACTAATAATGGTTGTCATGGGATATCAAGTTACTAACCATAAATGAGGTAAATATGCATCTTGAAGATGTTAAGACATTGAACATATATGGAAAATGCTGATTTGACAATCTTCGTTATTTTTTTTTTCTTTTGATTGTCAGAAAAATTAATTGTATTTTATTGGATTTTAAATAAGATTAGTACAACTTGATGACATGAAAGTCATCCCCAAGCTATCATAATCAAAGTTACATGGAAGCCCATACCCCTTGTTTGGCAAGGAAGTCAGCTAACCCATTTGCACTCCTTACCCACTTGAATTCTGCATTTATATCCTTCACATGTCTTTCCACTTCACTTCCCTTAAAACATGTTTGAGAGTCCATGGGATATGTCTGTTGTAATTTTCTCATGAGATGACATTCTTCATTACTTAATGCAACTATCTATGATCTTTTCTAGATTAATGGTTAGAAAGCAGAATACACCATTGGACCTCCTCTTGTAAATGCCTAATTGATTCATCCATAACTAATACAAAAAAGGGCTAAGCACCATCTGTTGGTGCAAACCTACTGCCATGCTGTTGAATGTTGAACCTTTAGGATGTTCTATCAATATTTGTTTATTGTGATCTTTCATAGTAATATCAATTTCTTTTGAAGTATCTTATTGGTAGATTTGCAGCGAGCCAAGTAGATTTTCTGCTTTTCTTATTTTGAAGATATAATAAGCCCCTCTTCATTAAGTGGACTCCTCCACTTATCAAATTTCTCCAACTCTACTGTGCTATCAGTTTTGGACCATGGATTACAGCCATAATTTCAGCTCTCAAAGAATTACCAAATCCCACAGAACCAGAGAAAACTGATTACAACCACTTAACAGGTGCTAAGGTAGCACCTCTCAAACAAGCAATCCAGCTTAACAAGATCCTTCCTTCTTCTATCTTTTTTCCTTTTTGATAGTAAGAAAAAAATATTAGAAGGAAGAAAAAAACTGATTACAACCACTTAACAGGTGCTAAGATAGCACCTCTCAAACAAGCAATCCAGCACCCCATGAGCTTTCCTCACGTTGGTCAGCTCAATTAAAAAATCCGCATCTTGTTCTTTGTTTTTGAACATTCTTGCATTCCTCTCCTCCCAAATACTCCATAATATAGCAGCCCTTGTGTATTGATCAAAAATATATATATATATATAGCAGCCCTTGTGCTATACCATAACAGATTCATTCTTTTAGTGTGATATGTCGTTGCATCTTGTGTGAAAAGATCTGTGATGTTTTGTGGAGCTGTCCATGACTTGCCAAAACAGAGATGGAAAATGATTTCACACTTGTGTTAAATATTGACAAGGAAGTAAAAGGTGATGTGAACTCTCTCTCTCTCCACTCTTGAGACAAAGAACACACACTGTGGGGATAAGCACCAACGTTTCTGTTTCCTTTGGAGTGTGTTGATGATTTGAAAGAAGCCTCCCAACAGAAAACCTTTACTTGGGGGAGCAGGGCCAGTCCAGCTTGTTTTCCAAAGATAGGGAGAAACAAAAGGCTGGACATTAACTTGGTCAAGTTTATTGAAAAAAGGAACAAGAGAATGTGCCATGGAAATTAGGGGCCCACACCCTCTTATCATTTCTAAAAGAAGGAAGAAATACATGGCTCAAACTCAAAAGTATGAAGGAGGTCAACAATTTCAGGAGTTTCCCTCTCTCTCTTAATCCTAGATTTCATGATAGGATACCATTGTCCATCATTGCCAAATCCACTATTGGTTTGTTTTTGTTCAAAGAGAAGGTGTGCAGTCTAGGGTATGACCATAGGACTGGCTGAAAAGAATAGTCTCCCCATTATACATCTTCCCAAAGTTTTATCCTATTCTTTTGTTGAGGATCATAACTAATGTTTTGAGAAAAGATAGGCAATATGGTCATTACTGATTTCCAAGGACATCTTAGAGTAGAGCTTCTAGAAATTCAAGAATCCCTTCCAATAGGATTCTCTCCATAGATACTTTCAATCACCAATACTTTTAATCACTAATTGCTACAATGTATTGTTCTCTTTTGGGAATCTCCATAACCCACTTCTTCAATAAAGCCATACTTTTGTCCTTCAAATGCCTTGCTCCAATTCCACCATCCTCACTTTTGTTTACATTCTTGGAAGTGGCTAAAAAATCATCTTTCGGGGTGCGGTTGGTGCCTACCTACAAAATCATACCCTTGATGGCCCACCATTCCCTACGTTTCATCAACCTATTCCTTATTTTCTCCCTTGTACACATTTTAAAGGAAGTGGTAAGTAGGGATACAACACTTATTTTGATTCATTGGCCCAACCCAATGAATCAAAGCCTCAAATTTAACTATAACCTAAACCGATCTTCATCCTAAATTTCTCAACCCTAACCAAATCCAATCATGAGATTGGGTTGGTTAAGTGGGAACCTGGGAAACCTACCTACTATATTTACATATGCATGCATTTATACAAAAGCGCATATTACATATGAAAGTGATGCATAGGCAGCATGCTTTAATCATTTTATAATGATATTTTACAATAAACTATCTTTAACCATCATCCTCTCTCATCCCTCTCATTAAATAGACCTATATAAATCACTACATATATAATATACAAGAATGTACTATTAGAAGTGTAGTACATTGGGTTCAGTTGGCAGGCTGTCAAAGGTGTCAACCCTAACCCAACCCAACTTTATATCAGTTTTGCATTTCCAACCCTAACCCTAACCAAATATTCAACCCAACCCTCAATGGCGGGTTGTATTCAGGTTGGCCCAACCCAAGTTGCACCTCTACTCAAACGGACAACAAATGTTTTGAGTTATTAATGCAGATCGGATCCAAGATTTGGCATGGGTTTCTAGCTGGTATTATTCAGAAGAGAGATCCAAAATTCCAAATGACCTATGATCTTCCTTGCAGAAGCATGGATTGTTGGCCTGAGGGGACTATTGTGTTACTGTCTCCATCCTCTATTTACATAAAAGTTTCAGTTCTGAAGTCCTTGCCACATGTCTGAAACAAGTCTCCAGTAAGTTATTTTTTTCAATTTAAGTATTGGTGTTTGGAGTGATAATATCACTTCAGAATATTGAAATGCGAGATGATTACAAAGTTGACTGGTTCAGGAAAGTGAGCATATGACCAATGTTTATGGCAACCAATGTGATGGATGAACTGGATTTGCCACATCATGTAATCATGTGGCAGAAGTAGGATATCAAGGTTACTCTTACCTCCTAGATGTCATTCTACTATATGTTCATCTGTACCGAAGTTATAGTTTTAGCATTTCTACTTTGATGCCCAAGTTTGCCTGATTTGTAAAGGGTGTTGGTCCATTCCCTCTTTGGATCATTGGAGCTGGTTTGGTATACATGATACATCTAAGTTTCCATAAGTTATTGGTTCTCAGATGATTTATTTTTTATTTTTTATCAATAACGGGTTCACAGATGAGATTGCCTTGATCCTGTCTACCTTGTTGAGGCTTAACCTACCAAGTTCAAAGTTATAACTCAATCATGCATCATGGAATCATCAATAGATTGTTCATTTTGATTCATCTAACTCGTTAGAGGCCAAGGAAACCTGGGAAAGATTTGTACAGAGAGATCTTGAGGAACAAATAGAACAAAGTCTCATGCCTACTACAATCCACAGAAAGCTATGCCGTGCAAAGCAGGATCTTGATGTGCTCTCATGTTGAACAGATGATTTGTCAAGTTTCTTAATGGTGTGTTGCCAGTGCCTCCCGCTTCATTCATCCAAGTAAATTTGTTCCTTGTGAAACCAAGATCTATGGGGCCACACTTGGAAGAATTTACATGAAAATCGCCCATTCAATTAAAGGGTTCAACCACTTGTGGATCTCATTCCACATCAAGTTTTAGAGAAAGAGTTGGGATTTTTTATTTACACAGATTAGTAGCCATTCCACATTTGCGAAAGCACGGATGTGGTTTTTTAAATTAGCGAGCAACATTGATCATGGAATGCTTATAACAACACTATGCAATTACTAATCAAGTCTGATTAAGTTGAGAGTGGACAATAGTTGGGTTGCCCTATTGTGACCTGGGTGAGCAGGGTTTAAATCTTGGAAACTGTCTCTGTAGGGGGGGGGGGGGGTGCTAAGGCTGCATACATCTGACCCTCCCCTCCCCATACCCTGCATCGGTAGGAGCCTGCTGCACTTGGCTATCCCCTTTTTAATTATTGATTATTTGGTTGGTTATTTTAAAAAGGGGTTGTATGGGTTTAAAACCGTACATTTATTATTTCAATTTTCAACTATATAAATGCAAAAGAGGCTGTTTCGTTGAAGGTTCAGTTTTTGAATATGTGAACATTGATTATATGATTCATGTGTATATGTACTTAAATTAATTTTTTTTTAATCCTGTGGTCATCATCATGGTTTTCAAAATCGGACCGGATGGTTGGACCGGAAAAACTG